ACAATTTGATCAATGTTATACTGAATAATGTTAGCCTTGAAGCTACAATAGCCTCCAACTTCAAGTACATAGGCAACACCATAAGCTGTCCACAGAATGACACTAGAAGGATAGAAACTATTCACAACATAACCACAACCTACAAAGATCATTGATAGGAAACAGAGAGCAATACCAATGATTATTGTTTTTTGTCTTCCAATCCTAACATCTGCCAACAACCCATAAAATGGAAAACTTATATAGGCAAAACAATACAAAATATCAAACCCAATCCATCCATTATTGACTGTTGGTGTCTCTGTTGATGTGATTGTTGAAGGTACAAAGTATCTGAAAAGGAGAATGTGGGAATATATGAGGCAATCCCAACAAAGAACCAAAACAGCCCAACAAGAAAAGATCATTTTTGAGAAGTTACATATAGAATGGCGCTGCTAAGTAAAATTAAAAGTACAACTGGGAAAAGTTAAAGTAGAGTATTGAAAGACTAAGACAATTTGAAGAAACAAACTATAACTTTGTTTGATTATTCAGCTAGCTAGATATAAGCACTTTCAGTACACTATGAATCAAAAACATTTGAAGTGAAACTAGATAATTATATAGTGTTAAAAGAAACCTTTTATATAGAACTGTGTCATTTCTTCTTGTTTTATGTGTCTTATATCTTATATAATTTTAAACAATACTATAATATCTTGCCAGTATTGCAAATTACAAAAGTCTGCTCAGAAGCAGTACATAAATACTCCTTGTCGACATTCAAAAAAACCTCATTCCAACCGACTGTCATGCTCTTGATATGAACTGAGACTGATAATGCATGTGCTATTGTGAAAAAAGCAAGCTAGTCAAATGTGAATCCTAAAAAAATTTGCTTGAATAAGGCTGCGTACATGAAATGTGCTACAATTATTATAAACTATAGCAAATTGGCATTAGTGTTATTACGAAAACTTATTCATAACTCTACTGGTAATCAAATCAACTGTATCATCAATGAGATTGTTTTTACATACTCAGGGGCTGGTGACATGTCACTGGCCCTTTTGAGTTTGCATAAATCATACATGTATTCCATATGCATCCAGGCATAGATATTATACACGTTGCATGTATAATATCTATGATCTATAATATCTATGATCAAGGCCTATACTTGTCACACTTCTTCACATCCTTTTTGATATACAGGCCTGCACACATTAACTATATTCCCTGCATTTTTAGCAAATGTGAAAGGACTTTTTCATTTAATTCACTGTATGTATATATGCTCCCTCTTATTACATGATGACTACTAGGCATGCATTTGCCTCCTGATGATGTTGCTCTCACATAGATCTATGTGTATTTAATATAATTTCACTCCATAGTATGGAGTATCTCATATAACTAGCAACTAAAGGCAAATCTAATAGTTATTACGTATAACAATAATAAAATGCATATAACAGATCTATTTATGACAGCATTACTGTTTCTTGTTAGAAAACTCTATATATGAGCAATAGAAAGCTCTCAATGACTTGATTAGCAGTTATATTCATGTGCTATGCATGTATGTAGATTATTTTTATAATCACCAATGTCATAAAACCCAGTTTATAACATAAGGAATGGATCCCTCATGACAATCACATTATGTACTCTAGCTCTGCTTCATTATTATTCATCTAATATTATTATACAACCATAAAAATTCCCCCTAATAATGCAATCATAATAAATAGTATATAATACATATAGCAGCATATAGTCTATATTAGTTAGGTGTGGCCAGGCCCTTGCATGGGGAGGAAAGGTCAAGCCACGCCTGACTAAATCTATATAATGTCTGATTATACTAAGTTGTCTTTTTAGTACTAGTTAATGAACTATTGGTGACCTGAGTATTTCCTCCATCACTTTTGGTAGAGCTCTCTTCCCTCAAATGTTTACTGGACAAGCTGATACTTTCCTGCCACGCTCTCAGTTCAGCAGAAGGGAAGGGACTAGCAACAATATGCCCGCATATTGTTTTAAGTAGTTCAGATGCTGTTGTTCCTTTTATAGCCATCTTTACAAGGGCAATGGATGCCACAAAACCGTCTGCTGTATTAACTATTCTTTGTTCGAGATAAATTACTTTCTCTTCCCAAGCAAGTATTCTAGTGTGTACTTCAAATTTCTGGAAGAGTTGGAGCGATCGTCTGTAGCGAATGCTGATGGCTCCCACTAGCATCACAGCACTGTGATGCCCCAGTGCCTTACGCAATCCTTTTTCTATGTATATGGCAAAACGACCAAAATCCATCTCTCTGAGGTATTTCGAATTATTCATGTGGAGATTAAAATCAAGGTCAGAAGGCATGACCACGCCCTTCGTGACAAGCTCTTTGAGGAGTTCTTCTTTTGTTAGTTTACGGGCTGAATCCTTTCTTCCCTTTATTATGAGACTCGTAATAAAGACTATGGATCTCAGAAAATACCAGACGTCAATATAAGCGAACAGAGAAAGGATAACGACCAAAACTACTCCAAAGATCCAAGCCATGATTGACTGATGTGCATATATGAGCGTGTTATGGGCGCGGTATATTTGATGGCCACACCCTTTGGCATAGATCTAAATTAATTAATTAATAAAATAAAATAAAATTACCACTTATCAGGCCGGTATGGCGTGAAAGTTGCTGCCCGGGCTGCTCGCAAACATGGACAAACCGAGGGACAAACTGGGTAGGACAAGACTTAACGTTATTATCTTCTTAATCCTATTTAATACCTTTCTTCACTTAATAGACATTCGTAGTTTGCAGACGATTAGGAGCGTGTTGAGTGATTATCATTTTGACGACACAAAGTGGTTTGATTTAGGATTGGAACTAAAATTGCCAAGTAACGAACTGAAAGTCATTCGAACCTCCAGTTCTGTTTATAATGATTCGGATAAGTTGAGAGAATGTTTGTCAAAGTGGTTGGAGTCATCATCAGGACCAGTTAACCCACGAAAACTTGTAAATGCTTTAAGGAACATGAAACAGACTTATGTAGCTGAGGGTGTTTGCAAAATCCGTAAGTGCTTGTGCCACTAGCACTATAGTTTCTCAATTATTCACTATTGTCTGTATAAATTGTGTGTATTATTAGTGAAAAACTGCATCATAATGGAGGTATTAGTAAAAGTAGAAACGAAACAAAGCCAGAAATGAAAAGAAATGCCAAAACAGCAATCCCCCAATGTAGTTAAGAGTCCCCAAGGTTGGGTTAGGGTTTATTTTAAAGCATACCCTAGTTATGCTAGGAGTTCTACTTATGTTAGGAGTCCCCTAGTTTTGTTCTTGTTCTGCATGGTTTTATTCCGTTTCTGGTTTTGTTTTGTTTCCAATTTTACTACTACCTGTCATGATGGGGGCAGGTAATGTTATAAATTAAAAACCTAACATAAACCTCAAAACTTAAATCTACATGTATATACATGTGGCTAGAACAATGAACTATATTTGCCTTGAAAATGTATATAATTGCTGTTATTTTTGCTTATTGTAGTGGTTGATCCTGCTAGTCAACTGTTGCTTTCGTTTAGTGACGAACTTTCTGATCTTGAGCTTACTGATGAGCTGCTTACTTTGCTGTACACAGAAGAACTGATAACAAGAAAGACACGGGATAAAATTAAGGAGTCTGGATACTTGCTTGTTGATGAATCACTGAGAGCAGTTTGTGCTACAGTTGCTAAAGATCACAACAAGTTAAAAGTACTGGCTGATATTTTATCTCAGTGTGAACAAACAACATCTCTTGCTCATAATCTTATGAGTGATTATGGTATATGTGTGTGTGTCATAATCATATTAATTACTTAAAATTATTTATTTTTAAGATAAGCTGAAAAGAAAATATTCGAGCCAATATTCATCATCTATTGAAGGTACACAAACTATATACAGTAATTATACTTTTCCTTATTTAGTCTTTTGTGGTTTGTCATAATTCGCTATTGTTATTATAGTGACAATGGCTAGCCAATGATTCTATAATACTATGCCACAGTGCAGCCATATCACTGTTATGATCACTTCTGCTTATATTTATTATTAGAAGAAAAGTTGACACAGAAAATGGATGTGTTTGGGGAACAGGATTTATCTCAGCAAGCTACAGCAGCTGTAATGAAATTTGATGATGGTAAATATTTTCTAGTAAAAGATTTGGTTTATTCTTATATTTACTATTGAAGAAGTTCACTCAGGCATTATTGAAACTACAAAAGATCTACCATCAGTATCATCAGCAGTGAAAGAAAGCAAAGTAATGTGACATAAATCACAACTGTGGTTTATTATTGTGTATGTATAGGTTGAAAAAATGGCTTTGACACAGGACATTAAATTTCTTGGAGACAAAATACGTTCTTACCAAGATGAGCTAGCTCAGCCTGGCCTTCAAGGAAAAAATTACATCATTTGTGCTCCAACAGGCTCTGGCAAAACGTTCATTGCTGCACTTATCATCTATCATCATTTACATAAAAAGAGGCAAGAGAAAATGAAAGGGAAGGTCTTATTTATTGTTAGCACGCAGCAACTTGCCCATCAACAGAATATGAGATTGAGGGAGTATATAAGCGGTATTGACGTCATAGACATAACTGGTGATTCATATTGTCAGATTCATTTGACCTTATCTCAAGTTGATATCATTGTTTGCACAGCTGGAAAACTTCTTGGTGAACTAAATGATAATCTGATCCATATATCAGATATCACTTTGCTAGTTTTAGATGAATGTCATCATACTTCTGGGAGAAGCCCATATGCTGATGTGATGGAGCACTATCTTCTCGAAAAAAGAGATGGACATCGTACGCCTCATGTAATAGGGATGACTGCTTCACCAGGAGCTGGCCGGGGTCGGTTTCCAGGGTTAGAGAAAGCAATAGATCATCAGTTAAGGCTCTGTGCTCGTGTTGATGCAACTAGTGGCATGAAAGCAGTCCAAGAAAACATAGCTGAATTGAGATCTTTTGTGCCATCTCCAAGTTATAATCGACACGCATTACCACGTAGAAATTCAAAGGATTCTTTTGTCACAGTTTTGTCTAAAGAAATGAAAAACTTAAAGGAACTTCTTCCTGTGCAGCCTAGAGTTGTGCCTGACCCATGTTCATTAGCTTACCAACAGTGGGTCAAGAATGAAATAGAGGCAGCTCAGTTAAGTGGAATGAGTGAGCAACGAGATCAAATTACTATATTGGAATTATTGGAAATATACCACCTAGCTCTCATTACTTATGAAGATTTTGAGATAGAGAATGCCAAGGAAATTTTAGATAAAGTGAAGAGCTTTGACGATTCCAATGACACAGAGAGACAATTGCAACAGAATCACAAATTAGTTAAGGGTATCGTGAATGGTATTCCTGGCAGTAAAAACCCATTGCTGCTACAAGCAAAGGAGCTCCTCTTGAGTCATTTTACTGCTAAGCCTGAGTCAAAAGCATTATTTTTTGTTCGTGCTATGGATCATACACAGTATGTTTCTGAATGGATAATGAAAAACCCTGGGTTATCACGGTTAATAAGGCCTTGTTCTATCACAGGGCACTCAAGGAAAGGGTCAATGTCAAAGGCAGATCAGATCAAGATCATTGAAAGCTTTCGTAGTGGAGAATATAATCTTCTTGTCACAACGTCTGTTCTGGAGGAAGGTTTGGATGTTCCTCAGTGCAATATGGTCATACGCTTTCAAATAATGTCAAATGAAGTTTCTGATGTACAGGCACAAGGTAGAGCACGTGCTGATGACAGCACTTTGCATACGATCGTGACATCAGATTCTCCAGTTCATCATCGTTTACTTATTAATAATGATAAAAAGGAACAAGCAAATCAAGCAGTACAGATTATTTCACAGAATGGGGTTGACATCGATTTAATTACGAAGCTTCAAGAGGAAATTCTTGATTTAAGGGAGCAGAGAATAAAGGAAGAGAAAGAGAGGGGCCAGACATGGAAGGCAAAAAATGTTGATTTGCATTGCTATAAATGTGATGTATTTGCTTGCAATGCTTCTGAGTTATGCAAGTTTGGAAAGAATGGAGCAACTATTGTACCATCTCAATCTTTTATAGTAAATAAAATGAAGAAAATTAGCAGGAAAGGTCCAGAGCCACCAAAATTAGGAGGAGACTACTCTCGACCATTGAAGATTGCTTGTGTCAAATGCAATGAGGAGTGGGGAGTGTGGGGTAACTGGGAGAAAAGTTGCGTCCAGTATCCAGTGCTACAATGCAAGAAATTTACTTTTTGCAATAACAAGACTGGGGATCGTCGGAGAAGCAAGCAGTGGAAATATGTTCCATTTGAAGTAGTTTTTTATTCCGAGTTTGAAGAAAAAGATATTGATTAGAGTCTATTATGTTTATGATACTGTTTGTACATTAGTTTACATGCTGTTTCTTGTAGATCTAATCATGATTCTAATTGTAATCATGATGGGCGCCGGCATAAATGATTGTGGGAGGGGCTGGATTCAGTCAACGCCCAAAATGCTTGACAAAATCTTCCTAGTTTCTCTTTTCTTTTTGTCTTTGTTCTGTCCAAATTCTGTACAAAGTAAGCACAAGACAATAACTATAAAGTGTTCCTTGTACGCTTTAGGTCAGTATAGCGGAGCTGTAAGACTGTGGAGGAATGGAGCCACGTCTAGTAGTTACACATCAGGTAGAGTACAAGTGTTTCTGGAGAATGGTTGGGGTAACGTCTGTGGGGATCTAAATGCTTCTCCATTCCGCCAAGAAGAAGCAGATGTAACCTGTAGGAATTTGGGCTACACTGCATCGTCGCATTACTCTACTGCTGAGGCTGATAAGTAAGTGATGACCCATTAACATTCCTTCACATTATTGTCCTTTTTTAAAGCATAGTGCAAGCATAAGTTGATATTTAAAATGTTTGTCACCTATGTTTACACCAATTCAAGGTGTTAGCTCCACCTGACTAGGTGTTAGCAAGGGGACAAAATCAAAAATGAGCTTTGGATAATTTTGTGAAGCCATTCATATTTCACTCTCCTCTCTCTCATTTCCATCTCTCCCTCTCCTTATAATACTCCACTCTTACCTCCCCTTCAGTTATGGTATTGATACCAGCCCTACAGTATTGGATGATGTATCTTGTCCTGCTAATGGCTATCACTTGACACTATTGAGTTGTGTGTATGATGATACTTCCATTGATACTCAGTGTACTGATGCTGATGATGTTGGTATACTCTGCTGTAAGTACATGTACTTTAATATATTAAATTTATACAGTATATTCATCATGAAAAACCATTTATAAATAGACGGAATGAGAAAGAATACATGTACATTATATTATGTGCATTTATGGAAATGATAATTATGTTTAATATTGATTACCAAAATGCATAAGATACTCTTACAATCTCTAAATACAAATATTTTCTCTTTCTGCCGCTTTTATTCTTTCCCTATTTTCTCCTATTTTCTTTTAGATACTGATAGAATATGGTTTGATCCATACCCAGGTATGGTGAGGCTATCAGGTGGTATGTATTCAAATGAAGGAATAGTTGAAGTATACTGTAATGGTGCCTGGGGTAGAGTGTGTAATGCATCAACTGATGCTGATGTGATATGTACCCAATTGGGATATACTGGATCACCTAGAGACACTGCTGTGTTAGTAATCTCTTTTCTCTCCCTCCGTCCCTCTTTCTCTCTCCCTCTCTTTGCCTTTGTTTCTGTCTCTCTCCTTCTTTCACCTTACCCACCTCATTCTTTCCCTCCTCCTCCATTATTTAACATTGTTTTCATTCATATTCTAGTGCTGGTGTTCCTAGTGGTGTAGTCCATTGGTTTCATTCATTGGATTGTTCATCAGATGATGCTGTATGTGTATCTCATTGTACCAGTTGTCCTACTTCATCATCTTCAATTGTTAGCTGTGCACAATCTGCTTATGTCTATTGTGGTGAGTCTTATCTACTCATATTGTGTGATGGTTTAGCTTTAAAGCACTGACCAGTGACCACACTATACATGTACCTCAAGTGAAAGAATCGTGCTTGTAAATGTAAAAATATTTTATTTCTATTTCAGAGTACAATGTCAGCAGTGGTATTAGCAGCAGTAGTGAGAGCAATTTATTTACATGTGACACAAGTAAGCAACTTTCCTCTCTTCTCCTCTCCATCTCATCAATTCTCTGTTCATTAGGAGACTACCCTATTGATAATGGAGCAGTGAGATTAACACGTAATGGCCTAACATCACTTGATTATACCTCTGGGATAGTGCAAGTCTATCAAAATGGACAATGGACTAATATTTGTCGGAGGAATACCTTTTCATTGACTGAGGCACATGTTCTTTGTCATCAGTTAGGATACACTAATGCTCTTAATTGGAGCTTCTCTGCCATTGAAAGGTACATGAGTATGAAAGCAGTTTAAAGATGACAGGTATTTAGTGATGTGTGACATATTAAAATTGCTAATTATTAATTCTTGTACAAACAGAGCCTCAAATTACATTCCAACAAACACATGCATTCTTTAATTTGATTTGACATTTTATAAAATGATCAGACAGGGTTTCCCACAGAATTTTGGCATACCATATGGTTGGTAATTTTTGTGGGGTATTAATTTTTATTGATTTCACGGTTCATTTTCATCCACAAAATTTTAACCCCTACCACCCACACGTAAAAACTAATTAAGGGGCCGTAAGCCAAGTACAGTAAAACCTTTCTTTCCGGACACCTTGGGACCAAATAAAACTGTCCTATTGTAGAGGTGTCCTTATTTCAGAGGTTCATTAATGCACATTTATATTGTATTGGGACTGATATTATCTGTCCTAATTATAGAGGTGTCCTTATTTTAGAGTGTCCACAATAGCAGGTTTCACTGTATTGGAAGCTAGTACTGTAGATCAAGAAATTTGCTAACTGCTAGCCACTAAATATTTGTACCCACGAATATTAGCTTCTAAGGAAATTTTTGAGAAAACATAAAATATTGGACCCTCAAATTACGTAGTATGTATAGTAGCCCTCATATGCACCTTGTTGTCAGTGGATTGTCAAGTTGATATTTAGACAATAATTACAAAGAGAAGACTCTCCATTTTTATAATTTTTCTGATACATATACATGTTCTTATGTTTTGTATCAAATTTGAGCCAATTTTGATCAAATTTAAAATTTTTAAAATTGATTGAAAATTTGGATAAAGTCCCTGTATGCCATAGTACAGGGGCTGGCCAAATTTTGTCAAAATTAAAAGTAAAGAATTCTCGATTTTTATAATTTTTCCTGATACCGTATAGCGTCAAATTTTCGTGGTTGAAAATTTTCGTGATTTTCATGACTGAATGGACAATCACGAAAATATTTTTCACGAAATTTAATTTTGATATAAATGTGGGCGTGTCCCATCACGCCTTTTATTTGTTTCTCGGGCACAGGCTGCACAGCTAAGAGTCGCTCCTATAAAGGGAGTCCTCATGTTGCTTCTTCTCCAAGTCCAGCTGGAAGGCTAGCTACTAGCGGCCACATGGATAGGAGTGGTTTTAATCATCACGAAATTTTATTTAAATCACGAAAATTTTTTAACGAAAATTTACTTGAAAGCAAAAATGTATGAAATCACGAAAATTTTCACCCACGAAAATTTGACGCTATACGGTACATATACATGTTTTCATGCTTTGTAGGAAGTTTGAGCTGATTCCAATCAAATTTAGAATTTTTATGAATTTTTAAAGTTGCTCAAAAATTGGGCCAAAGTCCCTGTACTATAGTACAGGGACTTTGGCCGAATTTCATCAAAAATTAAAAGTAGAGATTTTTCTATTTTTATAATTTTTTCTGATACATATATATGTTCTTAGGTTGTGTAAAAAGTTTGAGCTGATTCCAAACAAATTCGGATTTTTTATGAATTCTCCAAACGCCATGTACTCTATTGTAGTGCTTGAGTAGTCTCATGTAGCCAGCCCCTCCCTCAACGGGAGGGTCTGGTCGAATGAGTCTACATCATTCGTTCTCCGTGATTAATTAAATAAGTCTGTATATGTTTGTTCACCACCGCATACTTTATGCAACACGTGCCATAGTTAAATATCTGCTATCTGTTGTTACTTGTTGGTGAGGCTGTTGGAGAGAGTAGGCTACAATTTTTGTCTGGATGGCTAAACAACTTCTGTTCTGCTTCTTTTCTCTGCGTTAGTGCCAGAGTTTTTAACTTGAGTAAGAGCATCTATGTACCACGAGGATTAAGGTAATGCCTACTACAACCACATCCGGTTCACCCTGTTTTGGGGTGAAGTAGAAGGAATGATCTAAACTCATTCGACCAGACCCTCCCGTTGAGGGAGGGGCTGGCTACGTGAGACTAGTGCTTGAGCATGCTCATTTAATTAGCATGCTTTGAGGGAAACCCTGCAGTAGGACATGTTATGGTGTTAAATTGCTTTTAGCAATTATTTGTGTCAAAAATTATGAAATGGTAGAATAACACAGGATTTGGTCAAATTATTGAGTGACATGCTTGGAAAATGTCCACTGTCTGACTACTAATCTACATGTATGCAGGCTCTGCACAAAATTTATTTATTGTAAAACTTAAGTATGTAAATGCAGCTATTGATAAAAATTTAAGTATGGCCACTATAATTACATGCTTTTTGGCATTAAAACATCACTAAAATTTTTTTAATGGCTATGACTATGAGAGAAATCTCCACTGCATTAAAAATTAAAAAAATAATAACATCAATTTCTAAAATAAAACTTCAAACACACAAAAGATTTTATTCAAATCCTTTCACACATGTTGGCAGCTGCCTAGTGTATGGTGGAGGGAGAGCTTTAGACTTCTTCATTATCAGAAGAAGAGGAAGAATAATCAATCCTGTGCTCTTCATCTTGTTCAATGTATCGAATGATATGATCCTCAGCAATTCGACTAATAGGAATCTCAACCTCTCTCACACGCAACTTGTATCTTTTAGCAAGGAATATAAAGAGTGCTAGAACTAAAGAAGACAAGACAGATGTTGTAAGTAAGAAATAAAAACCTCTTCCAAGGGAAAAGCTCAGATCCATATATTGAAGGAAAGGCAGAAATATGATGAACTGGAAAACACTTCTCAAATTTCTTAGACAAAACCATAATCCAATCAAGGTTCCTCTCATTGATTTAGGACACTGAGCTAGTGTGAATTCAACTGCAACAACATTGTTTATGTACCAGACAATGGCTTGGATTATTTCATCAAAATACACCCATTTTCTTGATTCGGCCAATGAAAAGAACGTGAGACAGTTAAATGTTTCTCCAAATTGATAGTTACCGATAATTGCAAAGCCAGTGTAAAGAATATTTACAATAACAATTAGTGCCAGACCCATTCCTATTCTCTTCAGCATGCTAGGAATGTACTTGCGGAAGTATGATTGCCTAAAAATCAGTAGCAAAAATATTAAAAGAAATATGTATGCTATGGCCTGTACATTTAATGCTTGAGCTAGGCCAGTACATCCATATGTTGTTTTAGTCATACTCACAACATAAACGCCATAAAGACCTCCTGATAAACCAAATATGAATACAAGTGGCAATAACCTAAGAACAGTCTTCACATCTTCTACCTCTTCCTCTGTGAATGGTCCACCATACTTATCCTTACCCAGGTCTAGTCTTGAAGGAGCCTCTTCCTCCCAGTAGGTCAGAGCACTACGATTCTCAGGATACTTGTGCTTCCTGGCATAACACAATACTCCAACTATCAGTTTGACCGGATTAACTGTATTTACAGGAGCAGTCTCAAGATAGCAGTTGAAGAGATTGTGACTGACTAGTACTGCAGCAACACAGATGATAATTTTTCCCAACCAAATTACGTACGTCAGTTTATGGTTATGGGTGTAAATACCAATTATATGACGGAATAAAGAGCCAAAATTATGCCAGTGTATGATAGCAGTTAGTTCGTCACTTGACGATCCAATGAGCTGATCAATATTGAATGGTAACAGATTAACACGTATGGCCCCAATAATAACGTATAATATATAGCAAGGGATTTGAAAAACTAGCGAGTGGTAGTTCGATTGTAGTGGCACCATCAGAAGCAACAAGATGAGTATAATAAATGAAGAATATAATCCAGTGAGAAGTAGTTTATGACGACTTATTAAGAAATCGCCCAAATATCCAGCAATAAGAAAAGTAAAGGAAAGCCCAACAACTTCTATCTTTCTGCCATTAGCAGGATCAAAATACTTGTACTGCATTATATGAAACTGAGCATATGTAATGAACAGATCCCAGAACAGAACCAAAACTGCTCCTTTTGAGTGTATTAGGAGGAGACGAAGGAAAGAGCAGCAGGAGGAACATCTTCTTTTAACTGTTGAGGAGGACCTTAGCAGAGGGACACTCTCAGGCATAGCGATAGGAGAAGTGAGCAGTGTCTGTCGGTAAGAGTATTTATGACCATCAGGCATGAGCAGTTTATTTTAATAAAAAATAGCAAGCGCAAATTTGAGTAATGAGTAAAATGTATGCAAAATACATTTACACATCAACTTTCAGTGTTTGATTTTGCCCAAGGCTCTATGAAAGGCAGGGTGTAAATTAGATTTTTTAGAAGTTTGCTTCAAAATTTAAATAAATAACATAGATAGATAAGGTATTTCATCTCATAGAGGATTTTTTAATTTTCCAATGCATGTACGTTTATCTTGTGTAAAACAATTGAGCGATTTTGATTGAAATTGCAATTTTAGAAAATTTGAATTTGCTTCAAATTTTGGCCAAAAATCATTGTATTTTGTCAAAAATTGCTAGTAGAGAATTCTCCAATATTATTTATTATTACTATTTTATCAGTATTTTTATTGTTATTATTATAGTTTACAATCAGATGGACATATACCAGGTCTTACTAATGTGATGTGTTCCAGTTCTGAGCTGTTAGTGATCCACCAGTGCTCCTATGATACAGCAAGAGATGCACAGTGTACTGATGGTGATGACATCATAATAACATGTGGTAAGTAACAGCATGAGTACATAATATCTAAAGGTATTAATTTAGGTATTACATATACCGTATATTTCCTTAAATAAAAGCCCAGGCGTCGATTTCTTAAAATGGTATTGGACCTTAAAAGAATTTTTTTAATGAAATAAAACTTAGGCCAACAGCTTGATTTCAACCAGCAACACCTCACGCATTTGACTTTAGGAGCCTAAGAAAGTATCTACAAGGCACCTATGTTATTTTAAGGTTATATTTGCATATTTATAGTTCCATTTTATTGCTACCCCAGCATTTATTCACATCTGGCTTTTATTTATGGATATACGGTATTTATTCTTAGAAACATTTAACTTTGTCCACTGTGAATAATATTATTTTCTATCACAGATAGTACAAGATTATTTGATAACGCCTACTCTGGAATGATCCGCTTGGTCGGAAGTGAATTTGTTAGTGAAGGAGAGGTTGAGGTGTACTGCAATGGAGTGTGGGGGACAGTATGTAATGATTCATTTGATGGAATTGATGCAGTCACACTGTGCAGACAGCTGGGATATAATAATGGACGTGTACCTACTACTGATATTGTGTAAGAGAGAGAAAGGAGAGGGAGAGAAAGAGAAGAGAAGAGAAGGAGAGAGAGAGAGAGAGAGAGAGAGAGTGAGAGAGAAGGAGAGGGAGAGGGTGTGAGAAATGTAGCTTTGGGTATTGTATGTAATGTACATGTATATTGTTTTATGACAGCACTGGTGGTGATAATTCAAGGCCAGTTTGGCTCAATAATCTGTCATGCTCCAGTGGTAGTTCCTGTATCAGTTCTTGTGCATCCTGCCCTTCAGTTGTTGGCAATACCTCTTTATGTAGTCATGAGAAGAATATTAATGTACAATGCTGTAAGTATATAATGAGTGTTTGTTACTATACATTTAAATTTTATGTATACATTTCATAGTTATGTCACCAGTTCAGTCAAGTACAAGTGAACAAACAATTCAGAAATGTCAAGCAATAGAAGCTGGTAATGGAAAGAAGAGAGAAAGAGAGAGAGGGAGAGAGGGAGGGAAATGAGAGAGAGAGGGAGAGTGAGGGAAGTAATAAGAAACAAAAAAGTAAAGAAATTTGAAGATATTATGGAGAGACATAATTTACTTCCTTTATTTTTAGGTGTTTCTGTGCCAGGGGCTCTTATACTGTACAGAAATGGAACTGTTTCAACTGGTTTTACTTCCGGTCGTGTTGTAGTCTATTCCAGATCATCAGTCTGGGGTAATGTCTGCCGGTACTCCTCATTCTCTATAACGTCTGCTAATGTCATATGCCATCAGCTGGGGTACACAGGAGCAGCCTCTTGGTCTTACGAATCCACTGATAGGTAGGGGAGGGACTGGAGGGGTGGGGCCTGGTATATATTATATTATTATTGAAAGTCCTGTGCATATAAGCAATATCATAACATGTAGATGTACTGTATAGCGGAAAATTTTGGAGGGAGTTAAATTCGGCCAATTGCCAAAATTTGGTGATTGGCGAAGTTTAATTTGCCGAATTAGTGGCAAATTACCATTGAGCAGGCCTATAAAGGCTCAAAATGGCTGATTTTATTTTGGCGAATGGCTATCAAAATGCCAAATTTAATTCCCTCCAAAATTTCCCACTATACGGTATGTCAAAAAATTTAAAAGATTAAAATTTTGCAAATTCATCAAAAATATTGTGTGAAGTTGTGAACCTTATAGATTTTCATAATTTTGTGTATAAGTTTTTTGAAACACAAAATCTGTGGGATTAAAGCTCCATGAAAATTTTTTCAGCTTTGTGTATTACTGTATATTTATTTGCTGCTTTTTAGAGAACAAAAAAGCTTGTATTATTTTATATTTTAATTTTTAGTTTTGGCGTTGATACACGACCTGCTGTTATTCAAAGCGTTGCTTGTCTCAGTTACCAGCTAACATTATTCCAGTGCAGTCAGTCCACTCCAGTCACTAACATACTCTGCACTGACACCAATGACATTGGAGTCTCATGCTGTAAGACAATATTATTGTATTTGTGGTTTTTCCAAGGGTCACAAATTTGTGGATTCCTTCCTGATCTGTGAAAATCAATTTAATACAGTATCCACATGTGGTAAAATTTGCAAAATTAAAATCTGTGAATTGGAAATAATAGTAAATTTTGCAAAATATAATTCCCTTGAAAAAACCTTGTTATACTTGTTCTCTTCTTTCCCCACTTAACTAATTATCATTAAAATTGTACCATTCTTATTACTAGATCAGACAAGAATATGGGATTTTCCTTATCCTGGAATGATAAGATTAGTCAATGGTATCTTTTCTAATGAAGGACATCTTGAAGTTTATTGCTCTGGAGTATGGGGCACTGTCTGTGCTAGCTTGTTTGACGGAACCGATGCTACAGTCTTATGCAGGCAGTTAGGATATGCTAATCATAATGATTTTTCTTATACATCAAAGTAAGTGATAATATTGTGTATCAAAAATGTTAGTACATTATGAAATGTGGGCAAAAACTGGGTATTATGGTGAATGAAACGAGTTTTGAGTTACATGTACATGTATATGTACATAGCAGGTAGTTATGGAGGGAATTAAATTTGGTGAATTGGCGTTTTGATAGCAATTTGCCAAAATAGAAATCCGCCATTTTCAGCAATTATACGCATGCTCAATGGCACATGGCCACAAATTTTCCAAATTAAAATCCGCCAATCACGTAAAATTTAGCAATTTGCCAAATTTTACTCCCTCCAAATTTCCCGCTATACAGTAATGACAATACTAATAATTCTCCTAATTCAAATATTATTTTATTTTATTATAATATTTATTATATTCTAGTTCTGGTAGTGTCAGCCAGCCTATATGGTTGAATAATCTTCAGTGTACATCAGCCAGTAACTGTATCTCTGATTGTCAGTCTTGCCCTACAACTGGATCAGTCAGTCATGGCTGCACTCATTCTCAAGATGTTTACCTCAGATGCTGTTAGTAACATTAATATTTATAACTAGCAGTTATTATTTTCCTGTTTTATTTTTAGCTTATGTTGTGAATGCAAGTAGTGTAGCAATGGGTTATGTTAATGGCTGCAAGTCATCTTTTGAATTCAATGGTATTACAGTTAATAGCATTCATTTCATTGTTGCAGGGTTTCCCACAGGATTTGGCATGTAGTATAGCTTCTTGTCAGCAGATGAAAGTTGCTCAAAAATTGTGCCAAAGACCCTGTACTATAGTACAGAATCTTTGGTCAAATTTTGCCAAAAATGACTATGAAAAAATTCTCCATTTTTATAATTTTTCTGATACAAATACATGTTCTTATGTCGTGTAGCAAGTTTGAGCTGATTCTGACCAAAATTGGATTTTTTAATAAATTTTTAAAGTTACTCAAGAATTAGGCCAAAGTCCCTATACTAATTAGTACAGGATTTTTGGCCAATTTCACCAAAAATGACTAGAAGAAAATTCTCCATTAATTTTTTAGCACATTATAAATATCCTTATGAATTTTTAAATGCTCAAAAAATTGGGCCTTTGGTCTTCATTTAGCCAAATTTCATCAAAATGGCTAGGAGAGAATTCTCAATTTTATAATTTTTTCATATACATGTACACATCTTTATGTTGTCTAAAAAATTTGAGCTGATTTTGATCAAAATTAAACTTTTTATAAATTTTTAAAGTTCTCCAAATGCTATGCCGGTACTCATCAGCTCATGAACCTCATACTGTTAGTTCACTTAGCATGCTCTGTGGGGAACCCAGCATTGTTGTATGTACGTGTACATACATGAATGTATTTGTATAGGTACTCCACAATCTGGTGCTCTAGTGCTAACAAGGAATGGAGTATATTCAAAGCAGTATACATCAGGTCGAGTTGTGATGTATGGGATTGGAGGCTCTTCCAGTAGCAAGTATTGGGGAAACATTTGCAGGAGGACCTCATTTAGCCTGACTGCAGCTAATGTTATATGCCACCAGTTGTCATATACAGGTGCTTCAACATGGTCCTATGCTGCAGTTGATCAGTAAGGATATACCGTATAGCGGGAAATTTTGGAGGGAGTTAAATTTGGCGAATTGCTAAATTTTGGTGATGGTAAATTTTAATTTGGTGAATTTGTGGCCATGTGCCATTGAATATGCTTAAAATGGTGGATTTTATTTTGACAAATGGCTATCAAAATGCCAAATTTGCCAAATTTAATTCCCTCCAAAATTTCTCATTATACATTATAATGCATTATTTTGACAGTATATGATGTCTTTCTTTTTATGCTGTAGGTTTGGTGTTGATACTCGTATTGCTTTAGTTGGTTCAGTCTCTTGCTCCACTAGTAGATATACAGTATTGCTCCAGCGCAGTATGTCTGTAGCTGCTGGTATTAGTAGCCTCTGCACTGATAATGACGATATCTCAGTCACATGCTGTAAGTTAATTATTCACCTAAAATTTTAAATGATGTCCTTCAATTAAACAGAATTCCGGTATTTACCTTACCCTATAATGAAAAAACTATTTTATATAATCTTTTTAAAGTTTGAGACAGATTTTAATAGAGAAGCCATTGTTACTGATTTAGTAGTATCATTTATTATTTAAATTCAAAATCATTTTTACCCCAATTTTGTACTTTAATTAATGACATTTTTATAATGTATTAATAATAAAACTTTTTTCACAGATACTTCTAGAGTTTGGAACAGCCCATACTCGGGTCAAGTGAGACTATCAAATGGTAACTTCATTAATGAAGGACTGGTTGAGGTGTATTGCAATGGAGAATGGGGCACTGTGTGCGACACCACATTCTCAGCCACAGCTGCCAATGTGGTATGCAGGCAGCTAGGATATGCTACTTATTATAGATATGGACATTTGGCAATGTAAGAAGATAGTGTTTTATTGTATAGCAGGAAATTTAGAGGGAATTAAATTTGGCAAATTGGCATTTTGATAGCCATTCACCAAAATAAAGTCTCATTTGGCGCATAACCAAAAATTCACCAAATTAAAATCTACCAATCACCTAAAATTTAGCAATTTGCCAAATTTTACTCCCTCAGAAATTTCCCGCTATACAGTATTTTATAATTTTTTCATTAATTTTATAGAGTTGGCTCCACCTCACAATCTATATGGTTGAACAGTGTATCTACTTGTAGTTCTGCTAGTTGCATTTCTTCCTGTCAGTCCTGCCCTAGCAATGAGGTCACCTCCTGTGTGCATGCACAAGATGTCACAATCACATGTTGTAAGTATTTCTGATGATGTACTTGTAGTTTTGTACATTTACATTTATGTTGATAATACTATGGACCAGTTGACGCTAATTAGTATAAAATTTTAAGTACATATATATTCATCGTGATACCCTAAATGAAGTAAAATTTCCTGTTGCCATTTCGGAATAATTTTAAATAATCAAATTTTGATCAGAACTAGCTTAAAATTTCCATACACTACAAGAACATCTATATGTATATGCATTAGAAAAAAATCTAAAAATTAATAATATATTCTCTCTTAGCGATTTTTGAAAATACAGTATGTGGGTTTTGTCAAATTTTTTAGCATTTTACAAATCCAATGACAGGAAAACCTACGTGTATGTGTATGCATTAAAAATTATAAAAATAAAGAATCTTTTTTTATCCATCTTCGCAAACTATAAGTTTATGGTCATTTGCTGAATGTTGAAGCATCTTCTTGAGCCATTTTTGATGAGATGCCTTGGCCTACTCTTTTGTCATTGACCAAATGTTTATTACATTTTCTAATACATATTTATGCCCTTATGCTACAATGTATGTAGAAAGTTTAAACTGCATGATTCCAACTTCAATTTTTTAAGTTACAGCCATTTTTAAAAATGGGCCAAAATCTGAAAAATTCCCTGTACTATAGCCCATGGTTTTTCCAAAAAATGGCTCCGAATTTAGTTCTCATTTTTATTATATTTTCTGATACATATTTATGCCCTTATGCTGTGTAGAAAGTTTGAACTGATTCCGACTTCAATTTTTCAAGTTACGGCCATTTTTAAAAATGGGCCAAAATCTGAAAAATTCCCTGTACTATTATAGCCCATGGTTTTTCCAAAAAATGGCTCCGAATTTAGTTCCAATTTTTATTATATTTTTGATACATATTTATGCCCTTATGCTGTGTAGAAAGTTTGAACTGATTCCGACTTCAATTTTTCAAGTTACGGCCATTTTAAAAAACGTCAAAATTCTGAAAAATTCCCTGTACTATTATAGCCCATGGTTTTTCCAAAAAATGGCTCCGAATTTAGTTCCAATTTTTATTATATTTTCTGATACATATTTATGCCCTTATGCTGTGTAGAAAGTTTGAACTGATTCCGACTTCAATTTTTCAAGTTACGGCCATTTTAAAAAACGTCAAAATTCTGAAAAATTCCCTGTACTATAGCCCATGGTTTTTCCAAAAAATGGCTCCGAATTAGTTTCAATTTTTATTATATTTTCTGATACGTATTTATGCCCTTATGCTATGTAGAAAGTTTGAACTGATTCCGACATCAATTTTTCAAGTTACGGCCATTTTTAAAATGGGCCAAAATCTAAAAAATTCCCTGTACTATAGCCCATAGTTTTTTCAAAAAATGGCTCCGGAATAACCCCAAATTTTGGAACAAGTTGAAAAATTTAAATTTGATTAAAATTAATTTCTACAGAACATAAAAGCATGTACATGTACATGTATAATTAAAAGGAGAATTCCCTCCAAACAATTTTAGAAGATGTGGGCAGGGCCAGGAGGCAACTAAATTTATCAGCATGCCCTGACGTTAATTTAAGCATTGCACTAGGATTTTGTATTACCATATACATGTACATGTACATGTAACTCCAAATTTTTGTCAGTCAAAATTTCAATTTTTTTTTGTTAAAATTAATTTTTTTCAATAATATTTTTGTTAAAAATCTGCATGCTACCCACATGAAACAAAAATTTCTTTAGTTAAAAATTAAATTTCGTCAAACAAAAACACCTAACAAATTTGATGAAAACTTTGACTGACAAAACTTTAGAACTAAATAGTGTTGCTATTTGACTAGTATTGCATATTACTATTAACAATCTCTTGTTTGATGTAGATTCAACTTCTGTTCGCTCTGCAACATCTTATACTAATTCAACATGTTTGTCATCAGGTGAGTCAAAATTTAACAGCAAATGTTTATTTATCCTTTCATACACACACACACAACACACTTCTCTCTCTTTATTTTAGCTGATGAAGGGTTGAGTGGTGGGGCTGTAGCTGCTATAGCCATTTCCTGTATTACAGTTTTTTCCATGGTAATACTTTTTATCATTTACGTTGACAAAAAAAAGAAAACTGGACGAACTGATGCTGAGATGTTCCGGGCTGGTTGGGAGAGCATTAAAAGCAAATTTCCTTGTAACACCTCTACTAGTTCTTCCTCATCGTCTAATGCTAATGCTGTAGAACTGCTTGCTGCACCATCAACTAATAACACTAATAATGATACTGACACTAACCCCAGTACTAATGCCAGCACTAGTGGGAATCAAGAAGCAGCACCTTTGGAAGCAGCAGCTCGTCCTGCTCCTCCGTCGTATTTTGAGGCAACAGAGACTGCATTGTTTCCTGCTGATAAAGCTAATCTAAATGATGAATCTACTACCACTAATGATATTCCAACAAATGATGTGCCACCACTGCCTCCAGATCCATATGGGCTTACAAGAGAAGAGCCTCCTCCTTATTCTGAGGCAGCAGATTAAAGTTTCAAATATATTATATTATCATTATTTTTATTCCTCAGTGTCATTTATTGTTTTTTTATTTGCTATTTAAACTATACTAGAATATTATTTACAATGCATGTCAGTATTGTCTGTACAGTATTTGGCATACATTCATCTCTCAATGCAGCAATGAATATGTGTAAACATTTTCATGGGCTACTTTGTTTATTTGCGTTGGTGGGAGGATGTGGAATTGTGGATCTAACAATGATGACGTCGTGTCTGGTCTGTGACGTGTTAGCTAGCTTTTGCTATAAAAGATTCTTTTCAGGCTTTATCCATTTCAGAATTACAGCTTGTGCTATCTTGTACAATAAAGAAGCTCGATTCATAAACTGGAACTTTTTGGAATGGCTTTACTCCTAGTAATAGCTGCAGTGACAGCTTTCCTATTTGCATTTGTGGACGTCTGGTACTTCATTCGTTTCTTTGCCATGTTCATAGCTGGCAAGATGAACCGTCGCCAGCACCAGAAAATAACCCAGAAAGATCTACTGAAGGACCACGTATCCTCATCAGTAGTTCTCCCCTCTGATATTGATGCCTTCCTCCACATGAACAATGCTAAGTACTTGAGAGAATACGACATAGCAAGAGTCAAAATGGCAGGAGAGCTAGGATTCCTCGATGCAGTTTCAAGCAAGAAAGGAGCCTTTCTCGTAGCGGCAGCAACAAGCATACGCTACCGTCGCTCAATGAAACTGTTCCAGCGTTTCAGTGTTCAAAGCAGACTGGTCTACTGGGAGAAAGACTCGTTTTACTTGGAGCAAAGGACAGTGACACCAGACGGATTCACCACCTCCATATTGATGACAAAATATGCAGTGAGAGGAATAGAAATGAAGGATGTGCTAGCTCACAGCCTCTCCTCTTCTACTGCCCTTCCAACTCCACCTGAGGTCAGCCCAGAGCTATCATCATGGATGGAGAGTCTACGTCACTCAAGCAACACTCTACGGACTGCAACCAGTGACAAGAAGACACCTGAGGTAACACCAACACCTTTAATCAAGAGGAGCGGCAGTGGTAGAGAGCTTGGACTAACATCATTACCAAGATAAAGATGATTATTATAAATCAAACTTTTCAAACATTATCAGTTTTATCACTAATCACTATGCACAAGAGTGCTATGCATAATTGTTGTAGATACTATTTATTATTAGAAGTTGTTGTTTGTTTAATGTTATATAAACAATTATTTTACGTCAAACCACAGCTACAGTCTTTATCTATCATGAAACCAATTGCAGTGGCAAGCAGACAAAATTAATACTTACACCAAAGCACTATATGATGAATACAAACTAATGTATTAAGTGTTCATAATAATGACATTAAGTATACTGCATTAAGTGTCCATAATTATTATGTACTCTTGTTGTTATGCGGCTAGTAAATTCAACACTCCATAAAATGAGCCACCCACTACATAATGTAGTGACGGCTACTATTAATCATTTTTAAATAAGATTGATTGTACATGTATAAATTGAAACAGAAATACAAGCCAAACAGTTTGTTCTCTCGTCTTTAATCTCCCAAGAGATGTACAATCATTGAGAGAAACTTTAACTGAAAAGAAAACTAGAAAAAGAACAAATGAATATTACAGCTGCATCACTACTTAAATTTCAAGGGCATAACTTTTGCTGTTTTTGCAAATTCAAATTTTTGTGCTTCCTAAAAGTTTACCATATATGGCTATACAGTATGAATGTAAAGGTCACATTTAGTCGTGTTAGCTAATAGTTTAGATAACTATCAAAGCACATGAGACCAAACAGCTGTAAAAACACAAATTTCCCCACTTCCCCACTTGTCTCACTCACCAATACATAAAGTAGATATTAAATTACCGTATAGCGGGTTTGTTTCGTGAGGGTAAACTTTCGTTTTCCATCCTCAAAATGACTTTCGTGAGGTTAAACATTCGTTCTGAAGACGTTAATAAGCTACCACGCCCATTAAAACTGGAATTTCGTTTGGTTAATTGTTCGTTCTCCCATCTTGAAGAACGAAAAGAACAAAAGTTTAGCCTCACGAAACAAACCTGCTATACGGTATTTAACAATAATGACTATACTTCCACTATTTTCTTATATCAACACTCACCTGTAAGGGTACCCGCCATATTTAGCACGGAATATAGAGAGAAGATAACCAAATACCACAACAACGATAATCAATCCAATTACTGGAGTATCTATAGAAGAAACAGGCCATCTTAAACATGATTCACGACATCAATTAGCTATCAATGAATACAGATTCACTAACTCACAATACACAGTGTAAAGACATAACAGGAAGCTATGGGCACATATCATAGATCTAGTACCAAATTAGATAATACATGATACATCTACCTAATCGGTGATTAAGTGATAAATACTATGTCTATATTCATGTGCATGTACATTTAGATGTATGTATGTAATGCATTGTCACATTAAAAAATCAAGCAAAAGCTGGTTCACAGTGTCAAAATTTATGTTATATTCTACATTGCATTGGACCCCTTGGTTGAAATCCAGCATGAAACTATAAATGTGCAAATCCTCCTAAAATTGTAACATTTATGAACATGAATGCAAAAAAGTGATTTGTGGATAGGGCAAGAATAGGAAATTAATTTTGCATTCTTGAGCAACCGTATGTAAATCTGATAAAGAATTTATAAGTTGTTTCTACAGGCAGGACATGACCATGCACATTCTATCAAAACCTACAATCGTTGCTAGCACGTCAAGCTTTGATAGCAAACACGTCAGGTCACAGGACAGATACAGGGCCTGGTGTTTAACACAACACTTTCTATTTGGAAATGTAAAACTGTGCACGATGTATCCATTACTGAACAAATGTACATTAGGCATGTAACCTGAAGCCATGCAGTAATTCTATCGTTAACAATAGGCAGTCACTGGCTATCTGCAAACATGTTAACTTAAATCAAAGAATATTCTTCAATGGCAGACAACAGGATGAATTGATACAGTCTAATAAACAGAATCTCAAAAGATACCAAATTCCATTGAGTGATGTCACAATTATCATCATAGACATGAGAAGGATGAACAATAAAAGTACAATTAACATGTTCCAGACACAGACACATACCACATTATTACTACTATGCAGTCTAATCCAAATGAGTAGACATAGTTAATTAATTAATTATATTAGACATTAAGGTCACAGAAGATTAGTTATTAGACATTACTTTTACATACCATTTAATTATTTAATTACATGGTAATTAATTTAAACGTCACATAGAGACAAAGGCTTGCGACCCACTAGGTATATTCACAGGAAACTACAAACAAGTGTCTAGCTAGTAATAACCTATAGTCCAGCCAATAGTATACAACTGTATAGTTACATTGTATGTACAGCATAATGATGACATCAAATGATGTCACTAGCATGATAGCATCTACTGATAAGACATCCCACAAACACAAACTGGGCACTGCTCTATTGGTGTACAGGATATTAGCTAATTCTCACTGGAACTAGTGAAAAACAACCACTAAAATTCAAAATCTATGATACCTGACAAATAATCATAACATATATATATCTATCAGCATAAAGGCTAATGGTTTTGCAATGACTATAACACTAACAGGAGGTACATGTAGCTCAGAGGTCATTATGAACAGGACACACTGTCTGAAACCATACAGTATATCATTGAAAGTGATTGATCTGTCTAGGCTAAGGTTAAGGTACAGCTAAAGGATTACACATTAAGTCTGACCCACTAATAATAATTATTATTATTATAAAATTAAAAAGAAATTAACAATTTGACATACAGTATAGCAGTTATGCATGTACATTGTAGAAAATATTTCGGCACAGTAACCGCTTACATGTAAATTCTAAATTCTAGCAAACAGTGAATTTAAATTACATCAAATTTTTGAAATGCTAGTCCTAGCTCAAACTTGTATTTGATACAATACCATGAAATTTCACACCCTTCAAATCTACATGTATATGTACATGTAGTCTCAAGTACTTAACTCTTTACAGTATATATACACCTGTACATGTACGTGTACATGTAGTACACATGTACATGTACATGTATAATGCAGACAAGAGAGAGAGAGAGAGCATGTGCATGAAAAATGAAAAGAAATGAATAAAATTCAAAGGTCATAATGATATTCATAGTCTCAGGAGACTATACCATAACCATAACACTCTACATTGGGTGATTGCAATGGACATGCTATACTGCCAGAGCAGCAAAGGTCGGAAAAGCATCATCAGCATTTCACTGTTTTAAAACAGCTGCAACAAACAAATACATCCATGTACGGGGCAAAAACTGCTTAGCTATCACTTACATGTAGCTCCACAATAAACAATGAATTACATGTACATGTGTATACTAGTATTATTTTTAGTAACAGGTATACATAATGTAGGTGTATTTGTACATTACATTATCAAAAACATGTACATGTGTATGTTAGAGTAAGAGGTGAAGGTAAGCTATTTTTAGTAACAAGTATTGGTGTATTTGTTAGAGTGAGAGGGTTTTACTTACATTTCTGAATACCCATCTCTTCAAACACTTTAAACTTGTCCCCCATCAGCACCATACCAATACTAAGAACAGCATCTAGAGGACAAATAGGAGGAATTGGTGAAGATAATTCAGAAGAAATTTTAGGAAAAAGTTAAGGAAATGACAAAATAAATTATCAATAAAAAGTAATATTTCCATCACAATACGTGTTACCTGCACATTTTATTTGCCTCAAAGGCTCAAACTTTATATCATTTTATTCTTTATGCACTTTATAATTATTAGTACCATACATGCAGACGTACATGTACAATGTAGCTCCTTTATTAGTAATAGTCCATCTACTTTCACATACATGTAACTATGACTATTTATCAGCAATGACTACATGTACATGTATGTGTACATGTACATGAAGGATACACAGGAGCATTATAATGTAAGTCTCAGCAATGAACTGGTACTGACTGGTTCCACTGAAATACCCCTATAGCAATGAAAGCATCAGTATAATCTTGATATGAGTCTAATATTAGATTAAAACATGAGGATGTCACTAAAACAAAGCCATCATAATTACATTGTACAAGTGTATGCATGAATGATATCATTCAAAATCAGAGTTATAAATTACTGTAAAAGAGGTATATTTCACGGTGATTTAATTTCGCTAATTTCAGTTTTTAAAAATTCGTTAAAATTTTTATCTATGAAAACTATTTTTTTAATGACACAATTGTCAGTAGAAGAAAAATGCCAAATTTTTTCCTGTGAATAGGTTGAAAGGTGATTTTCATGAAATATTTCCACTGGGAAATATACCCCCTATATGGTATACATGTACATTGTATAGGGGCTTTATTTCATGTATAGTAAAGTGTCTTACAACTTGGCCTGTTTGGTGATTGCGGTGAGAGAAAGGAGGACCTCTAATGTGATTCCACATCTGACCAGATAACATGATAAATATCCAGGCCTGCATGAGAGAGAGAGAGAGAGAGAGAATGGAAATGATGAAACAATTAATAAATCTAATCCAATAGACTCGATCCATACCATAAGTTCAAAAATTATTAATTGGAATTATAGTTTATATATCAGAAATCTAATGAAATTCTATGTAATGCTAATGTACATGTAAACGAAGTACAGTACATGGCATTTGGAGCAATTAAAAAATTCGTAAAAAATCTAAATTTTGTTCAGAACTACATGTACAATGTACAATGTACATGTAGCTCAAATTTGATACACAGCATAAGGACATGTACTGTACATGTACGTGTATCACAAAAAAATCATAAAAATAGAGATATCCCTTAATCATTTTTGGTTGTTGGTTAGATTTTTGAGCAACTTTAAAAAATTTATATAAAATCCAAATTTGATCGGAATCAGCTCAAAGTTGAACTTGATATACGACACAAGGGTATATGCATCAAAATTATATAAAAATGGAGAATTCTCTTCTCATGATTTTTGTACAGGGTCTACTTTTGAGCAAATTGACAATCCACTGACAAGTACAAGTAGCCCCATGAGAAACCCTGCTACACTTGGCCAATTGTCTAGACTTATGGTAAACCAAAATGAGATACTATCACTGGCTTAGCATTTAGCAATATAATCAACTACTCAACAATAAACATGTAGCTATTCACTGACCATAGCAATAGTGGCCCAGAGTCTAGAGTCGTAGAAATAATGTAAGTTCTCACGTTTCAAGTATCCAACAACAGCAGCTACAACAAGCAATGGAATCCATATTAACATGACAGTGAAATTAGGAGGACGAACAATCGATATCTGAGAGAGAGAAAGAGGACAGAGAAAAGAAAGGAGAGTGAAATTATAGAGCAAAATAAAGTTAATAAAATACAGTGACAAGAAATAGAAAATTAAAATCACAAAATTTTACCAACATAAACATGTACATGGTATAGTTTGCAAGCTATTAGTGGAAATTTTTCAGTGAAATTGAATATTCACAAAAAATACAAAACACATTTCGTTTACTAATTACTTTAACTCCAGTTCTATCAGCTACCCAGTTAGCAAGTGGTTCACATGTAAAACCAAACCTACAAAAATCATGCAATCATTTAAAAATTAAATGATACATTAGAACCTGGTTATGTCGTATTTGTCTTCATTCTTCCTCTTACCACTGGGAGGGAAATGGAAATAT